GAATTACAAATTGGTGTTTTTGCCATTCCTCCCTCCAATGAATCATCAGCTGTTAAGTTTTAAACCATATAAACATAATCGCTTTTATACTGTTTTACAATGAAAATTATGCTAGAGTAAAGTGCAACACAGAAAAGCTTCTATATAAATTCTAAAAAATTTTGTTCAAAATAAAAATTCTGTTTGGTTTGGCAACTTTTTTCTGCAAAATCTTTCCTAATCTCTGAAAGGTTTCACATCGATATGTTTAAGGATATCTACTCGATATAAAGCAATATTTATTAATACTTATTTTAACTCTAACTCTGAACTAAATGAATATAGAAAACATACCGGTTTAAGAAAGTTTTATATAGATATTTGCAATCATCCAGAACAAAAAGTTTTATTAAGATTAAACTGTTTTAGGTTCATGGGACGTTTTCAAAAAAATGCAAAAAAATCATTTCTGACACCCCTAGGCTTAGTACGTCAATATGATTCACCAAATCCATACTGCAGTCCTTCAATTATCATAAGGGAAACTTTCATCTTTCTAAACCTCCCAGGGAAAGATTTGACAGGTTCTTTTCATTTCAATAAAAGTAAAAAAGATTAGTTTATAAAACATGCATCTAAAACTAAAGAGAAATTTTTGAACTTTTTGCTTTTTATCTTCTTATTAAAATAAAAGTTATCTTTAAACATTGAAAAGATTAAGCATTTAAAAAATCTAAATCCTGAGTTTGCTTTCACAGCAGTAAATAATTTCGGGGATTTTTCTGCTTTTCAGAATATACACTATACACTATACACTATACACTATACACTATACACTATACACTATACACTATACACTATAAACTATACACTATACACTATACACTATACACTAAACACTATACACTATACACTATACACTATACACTATACACTATACACTATACACTATACACTATACAGAATATACACTAAACACTATACACTTTACACTATACACAATACACTATACACTATACACTATACACTATACACTATACACTATACACTATACACCAAACACTATACACTATACACTATACACTATACACTATACACTATACACTAAACACTATACACTATACACTATACACTATACACTATACATTATACACTATACACTATACACTATACACTATACACTATACACTAAACACTATACACTATACACTATACACTATACACTATACACTATACACTATACACTATACACTATACACTATGCACTATACACTATACACTATACACTATACACTATACAGAATATACACTATATACACTATACACTATACACTATACACTATAAAGTATACACTATACACTATACACTATAAAGTATACACTATACACTATACACTATACACTATACACTATACACTATACAGAATATACACTATACACTATACACTTTACACTATACACTATACACTATACACTAAACAATATACACTATACACTATACACTATACACTATACACTATACACTATACATACACTATACACTATACACTATACACTATACACTATACACTATACACTATACACTATACACTATACACTATACAGAATATACACTATACACTATACACTATACACTATACACTATACACTATACACTATACAGAATATACACTATACACTATACACTATACACTGTACACTGTACACTATACACTATACACTATACACTATACACTATACACTATACACTATACACTATACACTTTACACTATACACTATACACTATACACTATACACTATACAGATTTCAAGGAAAAAGCAAAGTCTCAAACAAACAGACAATAAAAAAAACGTAGAGGAACGGAAAACTTAAACAGAGTCCGAATTTAATGAATTTGAGCCGCGTCTCAAATCCGTCAAAAACCGGTTTAGATTGTGCGCCGTCTTAAATATTGAATATAATTTCATGAGGAACCAACCATATTCGAGCCGCGTCTTAAATTTAAGCCGCGGCTCAAATTCTTTAAATTTCATTGAGTCTTTAGATTTGATTTTCATTGGGCTTTTCTGGAAAAAAATACGATTATTTTTTTTTATTTTTGCACTAAGGATACCTTAAGTTGGACACTATCAATTAAAGTGAAAATGGCAGATAAAATAAACCTGCAGTTTTTATCGCCAACTTTTACCAATAATCTTGATTTTTTATTTTATTTTCAATAAAAGATTTTGCTTTGTTTATTCAACCATTTATTTGATAAACTACACTTTCTGGTATATACAGTTTACAGATTTACAGAAAATTAAATAATTCTCTATTTACATTTTTTTCTTCATTCGTACAATTACAGCATGGATTCAGACTAGGATTTTTTCTTCTTCGTAATAAATACAAATATTTATTTTTTTACTAGTTTTATATACTTGTCATATAATGACAAGCCCAACAGCTATATATTTGCATAACAAATTTACCAGATATAAAATACAACTATTTATACAATTAGGAGACATGATACATGATCACACAAAAATCGACTTATTTAACCGATTACGGATTATTTTGAAAGCGGTCTAAGAAGACTTTACATATTTTAACTAAACTCAATTATTTTACAAGTTAAAGAGAAGTTTTTGCGAAAAATAAAAAAAATAAAAAAAGGTTATTTATATCTACAAATATTACATCAATTAGTGCTATTTCTATTTCCATTCAATGTTTCTGTTTAAACAATTTAATGCAAAATCTTTCTCCATTTGACTTAAAAAATGCAGTGAAAAATGTTATCTCTTTACTGGAGCTAGAATTTCGAATGTAAATCCAAATAGCAATCCATTAATAATAATCATGTATCTATTACCTTTGATATTTCGTAATTTAGATTTTTTTTTTCGAAAAAACGGGCGATAATTACAACTTCTTAAGTGAATTTTATTCGAAATGTATATTTTTGACATCTCTATATGGTACATAAAATTTTCTTACATTTTGGCGCGGTACTATCTAAGTTGAATAAAATGCTTTTTTAAAAGTGTCCTATCTTGGTTTAAATTAGTCATGATATTCCAGTCAATTGTAGACGAGGGGGTTGCTTTTATTATATAATTTTCTTTTTTCTTTTTCAAATTTTTTGTCCTCTAGATATAAAGTGGAGTGTATTGAGTAAAAGATTTATAATATTCAAGTCAAAACCAAAACATATGATTTTGATTTAAAAGGTTTTTACAAGTTTTTCCATTTACAATTCTGAAAAAAGAGAGTAAAAAATGACTGTAGTGTACTTGAAGATGTCTGTGATAGTGTAGCTTTTATTTTTTCATTTATTTTTTTATTTTTTATATTTTTTATATTTTTTATCCTCCAGAATAAAGTGAAGTGTATTGAGAGAAGATCTTAACAAATTGTTCTTCGATTAGAAACCCATTGTTATCAGAGAAGATCCGAGTAACAAAGAAAATAACAAAAACTATTAAAGATTTTTTTCCCTGATCAGACAATATAAAAACATAGTAGTCCCTCCCCCAGGATCTATTAGGGAGGAGGGCAGGTAAAGATGTTGCAAAAAACGAGAAAGCAAAAATGTCCGATTATGTTTTAGTAAAACTCAGATGAATTAAAATAGAACTATAGGTTAACGATTTTATCAAAAATTCCTCAGTTGTTCTAGTTTTAGAATTAAAACTTAAAATTTAAATTTTTTTTAACTGCAAAAAAAGAAAAAAGCTTATTTAATAAGATGCGAATACAGAATATTTGAAAAATTTAGAATTGTAAAAGAATAAAAAATCATAGTTTTCTTATCTCTTTCAGCAATATTTTCTTATAATTTTATGTTCCAAATTCTGGAATTCTTTGTTTTGTTAGAGGGTTTATGACAAAAAAATGAAAAAATTATAAAAATTTAAAAAAGCTAATAATGTAAGAATGATTAGATTAGGTCCAAGTGGATTAGAACAGATAAATAAATAAATAGGTGGATGAATGAAAGGATGATTAGATAAATAACTAAATAAATAAATGAATGAATGAATGGATGAATGTTAAGAGTAGATTATTGTATCCTGCTCCAGGTGAATTAGAATAAATAAATAAATAAATAGAAGGATGAATGAAAGGATGATTAGATAAATAACTAAAGAGATGAATGAATGAATGAATGAATGTTAAGAGTAGATTACTGTATCCTGCTCCAGGCGGATTAGAATGTCCCCCCAACCTTTCTTTTATTTTTATCTGAAAGTTAAACACTTGGCTTACTAGTTGTATATCTTTCTAGTGGATTATAAAACCTTCAGAGAAGAATAGAAAATTATTTAAAGATTTTCACCCTAACCCAGAGAGTTTTCGTTCCAGCATAGAGTTTTCGTTCCAGCATAGAGTTTTCGTTCCTGTATAGAGTTTTCTCTTTGGTTTTTGGCCTTTATAAATAATGTAGTTTTCGTACTAGCATAACGTTTTTGTCCCACTATAGAAAGTTTTCCTCAAAGCACGGAGTTTTTGCTTTAGTTAGAATAGTTTTTGCCCTCAATAAGAGTTTTCACCCAGAATAAGAGTTTTCATCCAGAATAAGAGTTTTCATCCAGAATAAGAGTTTTCATCCAGAATAAGAGTTTCACCCAGAATATGAGTTTTCACCCAGAATAAGAGTTTCACCCAGAATAAGAGTTTTCATCCAGAATAAGAGTTTTCACCCAGAATAGGAGTTTCACCCAGAATAAGAGTTTTCACCTAGAATAAGAGTTTCACCCAGAATATGAGTTTTCACCCAGAATAAGAGTTTCACCCAAAATAAGAGTTTTTGCCCAGAATAAGAGTTTCGCCCAGAATAAGAGTTTTCATCCAGAATAAGAGTTTTCATCCAGAATTAGAGTTTTCACCCAGAATAAGAGTTTTCACCCAACATAAGAGTTTTCGCCCCACATAGAGTTCTGCTCTATATAAGAAGCTAGAAATTATGATTATGAAACTCAACTCATTGCAAGGACATATTTACTGTTTCTTGCTGCTCTGCTTTAAATATTGACGGTTTTGATAGTTTATAAAATTATATCTAGACAATTTTAAGTCATTGTACAAATAGAAATCTGCGCATATGTCTATTAATCTTAATATTAATGGTACAAGTATAGCAGATCACATTTTGGGAATCCCAAGATTAGAAGTTTCTTTATACCATTACCAACAGTTTCAAATAGATTATTTCTATAATTGTGTTAAATTAATAATGTGAAGACGATATACAATTCGTCATTTAATTATCATTATCATTTTATGAACAAAAAATCAGGGCTTGAGTTAAAAAAAGCTAGAAAACATAAATAAAAGTTAAACTTTAGACCAAAGGGGTGGGGGTTCCGAAGTCGAATGGTATTATTTTTATGCTGATCCATGCAAACCTTCTAAATCGTTTAAATTAAATTTTGAATCATCTTCAGCTTGACATTAGAATATTGGAACAGTACACAGAAACTTGTGTGACTGTGAGTAAACCTAAACTTTAATATTAGAGAACTTTCTCTTTAAACGTTGGAAGCTTCTTTAAACTCATTTTAGGATTAAATAGAAATAAAAGTCGAACTTTAAATTGAAGAATTAGAATCCTATTTCTTATCTAAACTGTTATATTACAAATAGAACCAGTTGGACGGGGCCCACACAGGAGCATTAAAGGGACTGCTAACGTAAATTTAAGTGATTCTCTCTCTAAACAGCCCTTTAAAACTTTTTATTTGTAGCTTCACGGCTTTTACTCCGATTTTTTGAGAATTTCTCCAGCAATAAAATTGTCAACATTTTAAATATTAAAATGATATTTTTTGACTAGGTGACTGGCGTGAATTGGTTTAAATGGAAATCCCTTAAGCTTACGTTGACAATAACTTTTTATAGTTAAAATTCATGGACTTTTTTCTATCACTTTTTAATAGTCTTGAGGTTGTATTAACCAGCAGAAATATCTGCTATGGTTGCAAGGAAATAATCATCTTGGAAGAAGTTCTCCACCGGGCCCAGGCAGTCCTCCAGGTGGGCCTCAATACTCTTGTAGAAGTGAATCATAGAGTTCGGGTCAGCCTCAGAGTCAAGATAGATCTAAATATATAGAAATGATCATAGAGTTCCTGTCCTACTCAGAGTCAAGATGGATTTAAACATTTAGAAATAGAACATTATAGTTCCTGTCCTACTAGTACTCAAAGTCAAGAAAGATCTAAATATTTAGAAATGAAGCCAAGATAGATCTAAATATTTAGATATGGAGTTAAGATCAATTTAAATATTTAGAAATGGAGTCAAGATATATCTAAATATTTAGATATGGAGTTAAGATAGATTTAAATATTTAGAAATGGAGTCAAGATAGATCTAAATATTTAGATATGGAGTTAAGATAGATTTAAATATTTAGAAATGAAGCCAAGATTGATCTAAATATTTAGATATGGAGTTAAGATAGATCTAAATATTTAGAAATAAAGCCAAGATTGATATATTAAAATGATTAATCGGGGTTTCTGAAAGTTTCTTCATTCTATAACTATATATCTAATTTCTATATATGGCTTGTTGTCTGTCTCTTTGTTTGTATCCAATAAACGTCAAAACGGCTGAACCGATCGGGTCCAAATTTTTTGTGGGATCTCACGTGACCCCAGGGAAGGTATAGAATGATCAAAATTTTTAAAATTTATGCTTAAGTTTTTATTTTTGTAAAAAACTTTAAAATCTCGAAAATCCGCAAATCTTTTTTTTTTTTATAAAATCCGCGAAATTTTTTTCTTTTGTTTTTCAACGTTATAATGAGAACATGTTCACAGCTGAAATAGAAGATCGGCGCGAAGCGCCCTAAAAGCCAAATGTTTTATATATGTTTGGAACTTTTGTAAATGAAGAGTAAAGACCTCAAAACCCATAATTTAATAATTTTTTGTCTGTCGTGTTAGAAGGCCATGGAGAACCAGTAGAACAGTTTCAAAATCTTAAAATATTGCAAAATTACTTTGAAAAACACTTTATGCCGATCTTTTTCCCGAAAAACTTTGGGTTTACCGCTTAAAATGTGTGGAACGAAGCTCTTGTATATTCGAAAACGTGTCAAATATTTATTTTATACTCGACATGTACACATTGTACCGTAATTATACACGTTGTACCGAAATTGAACACGGTGTACCGTACTTGTACTGCATGAATTATTGTATAATTTACAATTGATATCTGCTTAATCAGTAATCAAATTCTTGTCAATCTTCAAAGGAGGAATAAAGTGCTGAATTATATATAGCTTGTCTGGCTGCTGGTTTCTTGGTTACTTTGGATCCAATAAACGTCAAGGTCAATATTTGTTGTGGGACCTCACATGACTCCAGAAAAGAGTTATGCCCTTCTTGACAGTTAAAATAGCCCACAAAAAATAAAAATCCGCGAAAGGAAATACATTTTTGCCACAAACTCTAATTTTTAAATTCCCTATATCTCGGCAACCCGATTTTGTTGTCCTTTAATATTTCACACTACACATTCTGTTAGATTAAAAACTCTTAGTTTGAAATAATATAGGTGTTCACCATCAGGTTGAAAAGAAATATGGATTAGAAAATTTAAATTAGTGGTAAAACTTAGTAACCTTAATTGTTGTTTATTGATGAAAGAAATGAACCCCCCTGTCCCTGTTTACGCCTAGGGACACATGATATTTCATTTTTATTTGAGTTTTGAAATGTATCCTTTGTCAGCTATTATCCGGAAACTGTCCCCTGGAATGGTTGGTCAGCAAACCAGTGGATTCTTCAAATTTCAGAAACATTAAAAATAATTTTTTTTGTCTAACGATTAATTTCCACGTAAAATATGTTCCATCAAACAATGTACATTTTAACGATAAAAAATAATTTTACTTAAAAATTTTGCTATCCTTGCTTCCATATATTTCCTTCTTACACCTTAACATAATATTGTAGCGCGGTTCCCTGCACTTTCGTCATCGAATTCACGAAATTTTGACAAACCTGACAAATATAAAATTTTCTTAATTTTTCCCTCATCTGTAAAACTTTTCAACAAAGAATTAATATCTTATTTTGTCATCTAGAAATTAATTAAAAATAATACGGGATTTATTTGCACCAAATAATACAAAAATGAGTTTAAAAAAATTTTGTCAAAAAATTATTTTTTTCTGCTACATAACATCCTTTGTCATATCTTACTTACTTCTGTATCAGAAAATTGCCAATTTTGATTTAAAACGACAATATTTATCATTTTCGAAAATGTGATAGAAAAATGGGTCAAATTTAGAAAATGATTTAAACCAATTCTAAGGAAAAAATATCTTTCGCTCATAATGGGTTAATATTATTGGACGTTTATTGGATGCAAACAATAACAAACTAAGAGACCATTTTGGTGAATATTCATATAGATGAAACCAAAATGGGTTTTATTCAACAAAATATCAAAATCCAAAGATTTGAAATGAAAAATATTTCATTCAATGTAAAAGTACAAACTATTGAAGAAGAATATCAAGAAACAAGAAATAAAAGAAACTTTGTTGCAAATGCAAAGAATTTTAAGTATGCTTGAAGAAGAGATATACACTAACCTTTACTTTTATCATTTTATTTTCATGCTTTAAACTTGTTTTTTTATGCATGAAATATGCATCTGCAGCTGATTGAGTAAATAAATGGAATGCATGCCGAATTTTGAAGTTTAAGTTTCAAGTTTTAACTCTAAAAGAAAAATGTTTTATGCATAACAACAATATCAAAAGAAATAATCCCCAAAAGCTTTAGCATTAAAAGTTTCACCATGGCTATGAAATTACATAGATTGAAAACCAAATCAACAGTACACATCTGGAGAAAAAAAATCGTACTTCAAAGATAAACTAGCGCAATTGCTGGTGGGTTGTTTCATAAAACTTACCGACATTGGGTTGCAAAGATATTTGGATCATAAAATCAGAGTTTGTGAGCTTGTAACAGTGGCAAGATTATAAAATAGATCTAACTCTAAAATGTGTAATTCAAGACCTTCTGTAAAAGAAAAATAAGTAAAACTCTGACCTGTTGTTTAAAAATGACCCCCTGACGTACAAGGGCTCGTGTAAGAGCAAGCAGGTGATCCAGGCAAATCAGGTTGCCAGGCTTATTCGTGATAAATATCCTCTTGCTTGGATACAGGCCCGAGTGCAGGGATACGCTACTCGTCTCGAACCTAGTCATGAATACAAAGTTTCAATATCAAAAAATTAAAAATTATAAAAGAATGACTAAGAATTTAACTTTAAAAATTTGGTTTTATTTTATCTTCTGCTCTTTTCTAAGCAGGTATAGCCATGTATATACAATTCATTATCAAATAAATTACATTCGCGGATTTCGTTTCTTTTGATTGATAGAAAAGCGTTGTTAAAACACACTCCCTGGCCCAACATAAGCAAAAGCCTAGAGAAGGGGGGGGGGGGATGAAACTGGTAAGAGAAAAGGGGAAAGGAGGAACAAAAAACAATTTACACCATGTGCATATTCAAATGACAGCCTCTTCTGTAAATTTTTAATTTACGTACACAATGATACACTTATATATATAAAATCGCAATTTAAGAACAAGCGCGGGTAAACGGCGGGAGTAACCTTGCCAACGCTAGGTTCCCAATCTAGTAGTTAATAAAACTAATGAAAATGATAATGATGATTATGATGCTCGAAAGTATTGAGATATTACTAGTAATACTATTCAAATAATATTATATTGACAGTAGATAAATGAACAGGTACTAGTGTTCAGCAACCAAGCTAAAATTCATTAAACTTGGTCCCTGTATGTATTCCGCAGAAAACTTTTGCTTCAAAAATAAATCTGAAATAATTTTATGAACACTCTTGTTCAAAAACTAAACAGCCTTTACGGCATATTCATTTTAGCTAATTAAACATTAAAACTGCACAAAGTCAAATTATATGAGTTGTAAATATAAAATTAAAAAGTTTTCTATGCTAAAGGTAACTTTATAAACATATATACAGGGTGTCCCAATAAACATTGGAATTAAGTGACGAATTCGATATCGTCTTTTTAGATAATTCTTTGATTTAGTATAACTATAGTGATACCTACTGAGAAAGCTGTAATCTGTAAGAGTTTCGTCTGCTATGTTCACATTTTGTTTGTTTATGTTTTGACTGCATACGGTTGTACTTAGTAAAACCAGAAAATTACAGTATACAAACAGAGTAAACTTGTCCGTCTCCACTGTTTATCTTGCGGAGACATTATAGACACATCTTTACAGTCTTTTACCCTTTTCATCATAAATAAACTCTAGCAGACATAATAATATTATGGCTTTTGAAATAAAGTATTACAATGCTAATTCATAACAAAGATGATATCCAATTCGTCACTGAATTCCCATGTTTTTTGGGACACCCTGTAGATGCGTAGATTTTAAACAATTATAAGCTTTCATCTTACTCACGTTCACATTAAATATAAGCATATGTTTTCAACCATAACTCCTCTTGTTGCAGACTGTAGAGCTCTTGAGAAAAACAATTGAATTTCTATTACAGGGTTACCCACAAAGGATGAGACTTCAGAGACGATTGTACGAAATTTATACTCTCTGTTTCCTTACATTTACCATTCCCAGCAACTTTAAACTTGTTTGTTTCTTCGCCAAATCATTGATTGAATCATTACATTTTCATATCTAATGCAGAATACTTAATTTAACCTAAGGATTGTCATATTTTAAGAGTTTCATGTCGTTTTTGCAGTCTCAACCTTTGTGGGTAACCCTGTATGTAACCGGATACACTTTCTTTTCTCCCATTACGTGTGTGTAAAATCAAATGCTAAGAGGTCACAAAGTCGTAATACTTCTGTTTCTATATCTGTATATGTTTTCAACTTTTTGTCTCACCCATACTTGTAATTTGTTTATATTTTTTTAGCAAAGTTTGACGATTAGCTTTACATTAAACGAAATTCTTTTTAAGATTTAGTTTTGTTCAGTCATTGAGCTAATCATTAAAAAAAGTTAGTAAATAGAATTAGACAAAAAACTTGTGTGCACACCTCATTATTTCTTTATAACGAAGCTGCGAGGTAAAAATACTAATTGGACAGATTTATAGAACAAAAATATAAAATTTCTAACTGAAGGGCCTGGCGCTGTCCGTGGATTTTTTTTTTTTTTTTAATTTGAAGGAAAAAAAATTTCGAATTTTGTTTAGCCTTTAACACCCCCTGGACACCCATGGGTGTCACTGTCCACAAAAAATTTCAACCCAATCGGTCCAGCTGTTTGGCCGGCTATACGCAACATATATACGAATGTCTTGTTTTATTATGTAGATTTAAAAGAACGTCTTTAAATAAATTGCCCTGTTGAAGATTGATTTGCCAAAGAACCTTAAAGTCAAAAAAGACGAAATCTTAAATTGCCTGAAAACATGCCACTAATGCTAGTTTTCTAATCCTGTTATATTTGCAATTTGATGCTTTTACTACTTTAATCATCGATCCTAAAGGATCGTATCAGACTCTGGAAAAGTCATTTTATTGTTTCTTTGTACAATTCTATAATTATACATTTATAAATATAGTTGGCTGATGGATCACAGTTAATACAGGGATGCCAGACTAACTAGACAACCATGAAAACTAAATAACAATGAAAACAACAAATATCTCCCCCCCCCCTCCTCTACTCTCCTCTCCTCTCTATCTCACTACATAAACCAACCCCCTTATTACGTTATCTAAATACCTTTTGACCCTAATATCAAATTTAATTTATATCAACCCCCCTCCCCCCGTCTCAAGTATACTAAATATGTTGTTCATATGCTTTTTAATGGCCATATTCTTGAGATAATTATATATATTTGATTTGATATTATTTGTAATTTTATCAACCCTCAGTATTCCCTTTCTTATTTTCGCTTTGCTCCAAATCTATGTTCATTTTAGACATTTAACCCAAAGTGTTTCCATTTTTTGTTTTTCTCATACATATAAATGTTAATTATATCTATATCTAATATCTATATTTTATAGTGAAAAATTAGTTTCCCTTCAAAATCGTTCAAGTGCGGGTAAACGGCGGAAGAAAAATTTGTAACCTGGTAGCGCTGGGTTCCCAAGCTAGTATCAATATATTTTAGAAATTTAACCCGTTTCATCCATCTTTACGCCGTTTATTTATCTTTTTTCTTTTAGACATTCAACCCCTTTGTTCTCTTCCCCCATATCGATGTTAATTTATCTATAAAAATATTTTAGAAAATTTACCCACGGTGTTCCCTCTTTCCCCTATGTCAATGTTTAACTATCTCTATCAATATTTTAGATATTCAACCTGCAGTGCTTTCTTATTATTCCCCAATCAGCCATCAGTCATTAATTAGTGTTAATTAGTTTATCATTAATTATTATACTATTTGTATAAACCATCTCATCAATTAGTGTTCATCAGTTTATCATTAATTATTATCCTATTTGTATAAACCAAGTCATTAATTAATCTTAATTAGTTTATCATTGATTATTATCCTAATTGTATAAACCATTAGTCATTAATTTGTGTTGATTAGGTTATCATTAATTAGTATACTATTTGTATAAACCATCTCATCAATTTGTGTTAATTAGTTTATCATTAATTATTATACTATTTGTATAAACCATCTCATCAATTAGTGTCAATTAGTTTATCATTAATTATTATAATATTTGTATAAACCCTCAGTCATTAATTAGTGTTAATTAGTTTATCATTAATTATTATACTATTTGTATAAACCATCTCATCAATTAGTGTTAATTAGTTTATCATTTATTATTATCCTATTTGTATAAAACCATCTCATCAATTAGTGTTAATTAGTTTATCATTAATTATTATACTATTTGTATAACCATCTCATCATTATAGTTTCAGTAGAAGAAAATATTTCCATTTACTGTTGTAGCGCCGATTGAAGGATTCATATCTATAATTGGATAATGAGAAAGATTGAAGATAGATTATACCGCCATACTATTTCTATTGGTTCAGAATATACAACAAACACATGACTGAACCCTGATTGGACCAGGTGCTAATGGACTCGGCATACAGGAGTGCACTGAAAACTAGACAGTAGGAGAAGGTCAAATCAATGCGACATTACTGCTACGATTTTGTGACCTTGTAGCTCCTTATAGGTCAAGTCATCAAAAGCAAATTTATACAGTTACATATTAGAAATTTAAAAAAAAAAACATTTCGTTCTTCTCAATACCTCTTCAATAATAGGAGTTATGATTGAAAACATTTTCAATCATACGTACAATATACGTTAGGGTTTCTCAAGCATGCAATACAATCATCGAAAGTCAGAGAGATTTCTGTAAAATCGTCGAGTTCAACAGTTTCACGCATAGTTTTTTCTGGAAATTTAAACATTTAAAAAAGAACGAATCGAAAAGGAGATTACATTGCTAGCTATAACCAGCACTTAATTTTGTTGTTGTTGTGGACTGTAGCATGGTACGTATAATATGATTATCAAAATTCAGAAAAAGCTTACATCACTTTCGGTAAATTGTTTTTTTCTCGATAAAATTTTTCATAAAATATGAAATGATATGATGGTTAGTCCGTGTCAAATGGCATAATTATACAAATTTAGTGAAAAAAACATAACTTTCACTTAATATTTTTTTCTGTACGTTGTCAAAACGTACAATTACAAGCTTATGTCCAATGTTGTATGAAATGATATCTATATTTCTCCCCCCCCCCCCCGAATCCCACAAATCCTACCCACTTACTCCATTCCCAAATAGTTCCAAATTGCCATGAAAAGTTATAGTTTTCGAGTCTGGTTCAACTTTGAAATGTTACAACACCTTGGGCTTTGATTTTAACTCACCACAGCAGACTACTCAGAAGGACAAGGTCAAATTTATGCAACATTGCTGCTACGACTTTGTGACCTCGTAACGGAGTTATGATTTCAATCATACAATTTTTTGAAGTTCTAGAAATGTACATTTTAGGACTTCAAACTACTTAGGTCTTTTAAGTACTTGTTTTTAGATTTAGCTTTTTAGAGTAATTGACAAAATTCGTTTTTTGCAACCTTTGTTTTACTGTAAAGTTATCCTTTCTCCCACTTTCCCCTCTTTCCCCCCCCCCCCATCTCTCCAGGCTATATTTCTTAGTTCTTGATATTCAATGTATTTAGCTCCAGCTAATCTGATGATACAGCTCCCTTTAATCATCATCAATATATAATATATATATCTATATATATGAATATATGTACAGTGAGATCCATATAAAACTGTGGAATATTTAGGCAACATTTTAGCAATCGTTAATTATGCGTGTTTCTTGTTTTGCCAGTAGCTACACTCGTGCACTCGTGTGTTTCATGTTCATTGGACTATTTCACATTTAGGATTCTTAGCTTGAGTCAAACAGTCGTCTTCATATTCAAAGTTTTATGGATATCACTGGATTTCACATACATATAATATATATATATATATATATATATCTACCTTGTTTAACATAAATAAGCTTGTACAACCCTAGCCTACTGTAATGGATTGGAAATGTGTCTGTTGATAGTTATTAGGTATACACATACATACATACATTGATGGATGGATAGATAGACAGATAGATAGATAGATTGCTAGTAAGATAGATAGATAGATACATAGATAGATAGATAGATAGTAAGATGGATAGATAGACAGATAGATAGATAGATTGCTAGTAAGATAGCTAGATACCTTGATGTATGCATAGATATTTAGATATTTAGATAAAGATTTGTAGAAAAGTGTATCCAAGGTTATTATGCATTATAACCCTGAGTGTATCTATGTATCAAATCCATGTATGTATTGTATACAATAATTAATACATTTGTATTGTTGTACAATACAAAAATAATATTTTCTCACAATCAGGTATCCTGGTTTCCAGGTATCCTGGTTTCCAGGTATCCTTTTCCAGGTATCCTGTTTGCCAAAATGGGGAAAAATAAACTCCCATTTTTATCTTTTTTTTTGCTTTGAGAATTATGATATTGTGAGGAATAAAACAGAGAAGGTATATATTTCTTTACAAGGTTTTTTATGCTTTTCTTGTCATATTTACTCAATCAGTGCCGATTCAGCCTCTTCTTGCAGACAATACATATCTTGGATTCATACAAGGAAGATTCACCAGGAACAAAAATGTGTACTGCAGTTTCTACTGTGGTTGATTACATTCCATTCTGGAATTGCAGTACACTATTTATAAGATAATTTAGGTTCCTGGTTTTCTTCCCCTTGTTTATATCCAGCTTTATATAAGAATAATAGCTTCCCCTTGGTTATATACAGCTTTATATATGGAAAATAGCTTACACTTGATTATATCCAGCTTTATATAAGGAAAATACCTTCCCCTTGGTTATATTCAGCTTTATATAGGAAACATAGCTTCCCCTTGGTTATATTCAGCTTTATACAAGGAAAATAGCTTACCCTTGGTTATATTCAGCTTTATATAAGGAAAATAGCTTCCCCTTGGTTATATTCAGCTTTATATAAGGAAAATAGCTTCCCCTTGGTATTATCCAGCTTTATATAAGGAAAATAGCTTCCCCTTGGTTATTTCCAGCTTTATATGGAGAAATTAGCTAGCTATGTTTCTGTTATATCCAGCTTTATGTAAGGAAAATAGCTTCCAATTGGTTATATCCAGCTTTATTTAAGGAAAATAGCTTCCCCTTGGTTATATCCAGCTTTATATAAGGAAAATAGAGCTAGCTATATTTCTGCTGAAAGCTTTATATAAGGAATGTTAAATGGAACCAGATTGTCTTAAAATCGCGTGAATACATATTTTTATTTTTATTTTTCTTATTTAAGTTTAGAACTCAAATTATAATTTTACGGTTGATGGCTGATTTAATTTTGTACAATCTACGTACTTGTAAAATGTAAAAGAATGGTATTTAAACCACCAGATTCAAAACAGTATCGTAGCCTTGTCTGACCAAGTATCAATTAGATATCAATCACGGGCAGCCGTAGTACATTTGAATTTCCGACCCGGGTCAACATTTCCGGTCCCAGTTTGTACTGTATCGCCAGGTCATTGGGAAAAAGAAGCAGACATCCAATAGGACTAGCCGGTGCAACAAGGTTGACGCGGTTGAATTTAATTTTACTGAAAGAATCAGAGGTGCGTGCAATGTTCATAATTTTGGAAATTGATTATTTTCAATTGTGGTTTAACTACAAAAGTGATTTGCGCATATGAATTATCAGGACTTACACTTTAAACCTAGAAAAACGATCATATTTTCCTCAATCTTGATCAGAGATAAAGGTTTCAAGGGAACTCGTTATAAATTGGACATTGCCATCTTTCCATGGAGTGTCACTTGAAGTTAGACGAACTGTCCCTTTAATTATGTATATATATATATATATATTTATATATATATATATTTATATATATATATATAATATACAATATACAATATATGGTATATAATATATACAATAAACAATATACATATACCTGTTCTTCTTGTGCCCGAGCAGGTGTTCACTGATGAAAGCATCTACAAAGAAAAGGTTTATATTTATATATATTTATCTATTTATAGTAAAATTGTCAAAATACAAACATCCTTTCAATATAAACTTCACACAAAATATAGCTGAAGGGAATATTTGAAAAATCATAATTTTCTTCTTTTTGAATTTAAAAGGATTGGTCGCGTTTCATGGACGTTTGATTTTACCTTTCAAATTGACTTTTACTTCTTTGTGTGCACTTCTTTTTAGCTTTACTGTAATTGGCAAAATTTATGCTGAAATTTATACAGATTTTTCATCACGGATAGTGCAGGGGGGGGGATTGAATTTAACAAAGAGAATCGAAAACTTTTACAGAAATCCATTTTACATTAGTTATGGTTACAAAATTCCTTTCAAGAATAAATATCGTTTAAAAAATTTAACTTACTTTTGCATTTGTAGTACCCATTCACAAAATGTACAACAACAAAAAAACAACAAAACTCAAAGTGATTCAAGCAAAACCCCATGAGAATTACCTAATTGTTCCTTAAAAACTAATCATTTATCTGATAAATCCACATTAAACATTAAACATTAAACATTTATTTTAAGATTTTCTTGAAAACTGCAAGTTTATCGAGCGGATACAGTTTAATTAATGGCAGAACAACCAGTGTCAGGATTATCGAATTTCTCAGAAAATAGAAACAAGAAAATAAATTATCCAAAGAAGAATAATGATAAACTGCTAAACTATTTAGAAAATTTGATAAAATATCTTGCTCTAAATAACACAATAACAACTTTTTTAATTCATAAAGAAACGAAGAAAACAAAGTTTGTATTATCTTATATAAAGTAAAGTTTTAAAAACCTGATAATTTCCAGTCCACTGTTGGAGATATAAAGACAGCGCATTTAGTTGTCGGGTTCTGTTTATCCATTGAAGTCTCTAGATCTAGACCTAGAACCATCCCTGCAGTATATCCTCCTCCTCCTTCTCCAACCAAACCAACCTTACTCCGGTCAACATACCGCAGTTCACGGGTCAGGTATCTAGGTTGGGTTGTATTGAATATAGTGAATTTTTATACAGTTTTATAAATTTTTGCCTGGGATAAAGATATAACAAAGTTTAGTAAAAGAAATTATAAAAATAATACAGTTTTCAATTATTGGAAGTTTTAAACGAATAAAAGTCTAAAACGATCCATAACGATCCATAACGATCCAAAACGATCCAAAACGATCCATAACGATCCAAAACGATCCATAACGATCCCAAACGATCCAAAACGATTAACAACACTAGTTTCATAATTCATATATGTACTTTAAAGTGAGAAGCAGCAAATTGTACGATAGATAGACAGCATTGATGCAATACTGAAGTGCATTTAATGTTGATACAAAGAAATTTGTTTACTTTTAAGTTAATAATTATTTTATTAAGTGAAATGTGAGTAATCTACATACACTGCACAATTGCTGTGTCTCATATTTACTGGACTATTTATTGTTATAACTTCAGTCTAAAACTCGACTTCTTATTCCAGAGTTTTCTGGTTCTCACTGTAGGTTTATTTGTAGGGTAATAGATACAGGGTGTACCATTCAAATTTGAAATAATTTGCAACAGATTTGCCCATGTTATCTTAAAAGTAAAATTCACGAAACTTAAATTTTGAAATGGAGGGTTTAATGAAATTACGTCAACAGAGGCCAAATTTTAATAATTTGAGCTGCGTCTCAAATTTTTGACGCGGCTCAAACATGACTGATTTTACTTGAAATTTTATTCAGTGTTTCAAGATTTGAGCCGGCGCTCAATTGGAACCGATTTTTGGCGCTTCAACGACGCGGTTTGGATTCTTCAAAGGAATTGAGTCTTTGTCACAAACTCTGATTTTTAAATCCCTATATCTTAACAACCCAATGTTGTAGACCTTAGATATTTCAAACTATGACTTCTGTTATATCAAACAATCAAAGTTTGAAATATCAAAGGTCTACATAATTTGGTTGTAGATATATTGGTGTTGGAAAATTGGGATTTGTTGCAAAGACTCAATTCCTTTGGCCTCAATTCCTTTATATTCCCAGCACAATGTATTCCATCTTAAAGTCTTACAGCCCGTTATAGTCCAAAGCCACAGTTCAATCTAGTCAAATGAATAGATAAGTTCAAATTACTAGTGCGACTTTTGACACCGTATCACCTCGTATGAGAAAGCCAAGTTTATTTGGTTGCGTTTTAGACATTCAGCACTCTTCTAAATTCTTGATTGGCCTTCAGATAAGGGAGCTTTATGATTGAAAACATATAAGATTTCAACTATACATAAATTTGATGTGTCCCCCTGCCCCGGTTTCCTAAAACCATTTTGGATTTTCATAATTTCGCTGAAAATTTAAACGTTTTTTGATTTTCATCTGAAAATCTCAGATTTGATAAAATATTCAAGAACTAACCTTAGAACTTTTAGAATATCCTCCTGAGCTCTCATTCCTAGCCTCGTCTCATTCCCTCCACCTCGCAATCCAACCTCAACCTGGGATAGGATATCACGTCAGAACGGCTGAACCAATCGGCCCCAATTCTTAGTGGGACCTCACATGACAAAAAAGCCTTTATAGATAAATAAAAACAGATTTTGCCGAACAAAATATAAAATTTTAATTTTTTTTGCAAATCCACTTTTGCGAAATTTTGACGTCAAAACGGCTGAGCCGATCGGGCACACTTTTTTCAGGAAACTTACTTGAACTCTGATGCGGTTTATTGATGCTTAAAAGTTCAATAAACCCGAATAACATGTTGCTAAATTTTGCTAATTTTAGAAATCCATCCATCAGAAAATCCGCAAATTTTGAGTTGTTCAATGTTAGAAGAAATGTCCTCTTTAAAAACGAAAATTTGAGAATTAGTTCGCTAAACTACCTACCGATGGTTTAAATCTTGAATCACTGATCAAAGTAATTGTGAGGATTTGAATCTTTGTTTCAGGATTTAAACCGGCGCGGTGGTAGTTCAGCAACTTCTCATATTCATTAAGTTTGGTCGTCAATTCTTTTTTGCGTTGGGTCAAGCAGGAAATGGTTTAACTACATATTCACAGTTCAACTTTATCAGGAATATATTGTATATACACTGTAGAAAAATTATTCCTTTAATCCTAACCCCTCTCTCTCTTTAAAATATATAAACAATTTTTAAGTGTTTTTCATCCCTGAGGAGAACAATGGTTTTAAAGGGAAAATTAATGAATTTTAGGACAAAAAGTACCAACAGGAGGAAAAATTTGCCAGCTGATATTCAGATAATATTTCCCCCAAGATCTTGGAGGGGTTGGGACTGGGGAAGGGGAGGGCGGGGGAGGAGATATTATTGGGAAATAAGATAAACGTATGAAATCAATTAAACAGCAATATGAATACAAAAAAATAAGTTCAAACATATTTACGACTAAATGTACATAGTACATATTACATAATCCTACCTGAGCTACTGTATCATCCTACCTGAGCTACTATATAATCCTACCTGAGCTACTATATAATCCTACCTGAACTACTATATAATCCTACCCGAGTTACTATACAATCCTACCTGAGCTACTGTATAATCCTACCTGAGCTACTATAATATCCTACGTGAACTACTATATAATCCTACCTGATCTACTATATACTCCTACCTGAGCTACTATATAATCCTATCTGAGCTACTATATAATCCTACCTGAGCTACTATATAATCCTACCTGAGCTACTATATAATCCTACCTGAACTACTATATAATCCTATCTGAGCTACTATATAATCCTATCTGAGCTACTATATAATCCTATCTGAGCTACTATATAATCCTACCCGAGTTACTATACAATCCTACCTGAGCTACTGTATAATCCTACCTGAGCTACTAAAATATCCTACGTGAACTACTATATAATCCTACCTGATCTACTATATACTCCTACCTGAGCTACTATATAATCCTATCTGAGCTACTATATAATCCTACTGAGCTACTACCCGAGTTACTATACAATCCTACCTGAGCTACTGTATAATATCTGAGCTACTATATAATCCTACCTGAGCTACTATATAATCCTACCTGAGCTACTATATAATCCTAACTGAGCTACTACATAATCCTACCTGAGCTTCTATATAATCCTACCTGAGCTACTATAAAATCCTACCTGAGCTACTATATAATTCTACCTGAGCGACTGTATAATCTTACCTGAGCTACTTTATAATCCTACCTGAACTACTATATAATTCTACCTGAGCTACTGTATAATCCTACCTTATCTACTATATAACCCTACCTGAGCTAAGATATAATCCTACCTGAGCTAAGATATAATCCTATCTGAGCTACTATATAATCCTACCTGAGCTACTATATAATCCTTGTGACTAGTTATATAATCAGTCCAGTGCATACTCCACTTAGAGTTTATACTTGGAAACACTTCACCTCTAAACACATGAAAATTTTAACTTATTTTAATATAATGTTAAGATATTTTAGCTTAATTTTAAAATATTTGAACATAGTTTTAAAATGATTAACTTAATTTTAAGATATTTGAACTTAACATTTAGATTTTTAAATTAGCGTTAAGATATTGGAACTTAATGATAAGATATTTAAATAAATTTTTCAGACATTTGAAAAAAATGTTAATATGTTTTAATATAAATTTTGCTATAACATAATGATATTCGAACATAATTTTTTTATATTGAATGATATTCAGATATAATTAAGCATAATTATATTAATCTTAATGTAAAAATAAGAAAGAATGTAGAAAAAATGTTACTTTTATTTTAAATATCAATAAAAGAAGGATTTATTGAATTGATGCTGGCTTTAAAAGAATTTGGGGTTAAAATGAAAAGATAAAAAAAATCATACATACATGTACATAATTAAGGGAAATGTGTACTCTTCGTACTCTCTGAACCCAGGAGGAAGATCTAGCTTGACAACAGCATTAGTTTCCTCTCCAGTTGGAACCTTTATAGTAGAAAATATGTTTTAAAAAAATGGAAAAAATAATTCAGCCCGGAAAACAAGGATTGTGGGAGTTTAGCCTAAAAATTCAAACATGACTAAAAGCTTCCACAAGATCGATTAAAAAATATGTTTAAAAAGTTAACAAAAATGTTTTATCAGATAAAAATTAATTTTTTTATTTATTGTCAAAAAGAACTTAGTTTTCGCCACAAACTCTGATTTTCTAGTCCCATAACTTTGCATCCCAATGATGTAGACCTGGTATATTTCGAACCTGGTTAGAACAAATAATCTAAGTTTGTAATATTAAAAGTTTACACTACCAGACTGCAGAGATATAGGGATAAGAAAATTGAGCTCGTGGTAATTCTTAGATTAGAGTTTTCGACGATTTCTGTAGGGGTCGTGAACAATTTTGAAATCTCAGCACGCATTTTTATTTTGACTCAAAGGAATTGAGTTGTTGCCACAAACTCTGATTTCCTAAATTCGATATCGTTGCAACTCAATGTCGTAAGATTTTTAATATTTAAAATTTTGAATTCTGTTAGATCAAATAATGTAAGATTGAAATATCAAAGGTTTACATCATAAGGTTGCAAAGATATAGGTCTTACAAAAACTGGATGTGTGGCAAAGACTCAATTCCTTTTGAACAATAAATAATATTGAAACATGAATGGTGAACACACACTTATTTTGCGAATATCGATTTCGGGAGATGTTTTTAGCATTGTTTTTGGAAGCTCCCAAACTATATGGAGTTATCTATATATAAATTTGGCTTGTCTGTCTGTCTGTTTGTCTGTTTGTTTGTTTGTTTGTTTGTATCCAATAAACGTCAAAACGGCTGAACCGATCGGGCCCAAATTTTTTGTGGGACATCTAGGGACTCCAGGGAAGGTTTATGAATCATCAAAATTTCAAATATTTGTCTCCATCAAAATTCGATCGTCATTAAATTTAAAAAAATTTTGAAAATCCGCGAAATTTTTTGTGAAAATCCGCGAATTATTTTTGTTTTGTTTTACGATGTACACAAAGAGAACATGTTCACAATTAATTTAGGAGATGGGCGCGAAGCGCCCTCTAAGGCTAGAAAGAAGGGTGCGAAGCGCCTTGAATTTCTAGTGTTTTTAAAATTGTTTCAAATAAAAAGAATGAATCTGAAGAATGTTAAGCTCTGTTAAATTTTGTTTTTCACAATCATTCTTGTCATGCGTAATACACTTGTGAGAAAAAACTGATATTTTTTTAAATATTTAAAATTAAACTCAAGAATAAAATAAATTTTTATTCGGTGAAAAGAATCCGATTAAAAAATGTATTTCTAAAACTGAATATTACAATGCGGTTGAAATAGGTTAATACAACAATGGTGTCAACCTTATTTTGACCAAATTAAAATAGTTGTTCGTTTTTGTTTTCGTCTTCTTTTAAGCTTTTTCCTTTTTATTTCCTTTTTTATATTATTGTTAGGAAACAGGATAGCGTTAAACCTTGTTTAAATGTCTGGAATTCAAAAGGCACAAAAATACAAAAAGCATGTTCAGAGCAACCCAACTCCTATACAATAACTGAAAACTTGCCTTTTTCTAATTTTATATAATCCTTATGTTTGTGTATCCTGTGAACCTTGAATATTTCAAACTAATTGATCTATTCATAGATTGAAATATAAAAGATCTACAAATTCAGATTTAGATAGTAAACATCGTCTTCTTCCGGAAGCTCGAAGAGCCAAACCAATTATTATATATATGTAGTTTTTCAATGTCATGTTAAAACTTTGATCTCAATATATAGTTAGTCTGTTTATTTCTCTCGTTATTTCCTCAAAGGAATATTAGAATATTAGAATATTAGAATACTAGAAATTCAAGGCGCTTCGCGCCCATCTTCTATTTAATTTGTGAACATGTTCTTTTTGTTTACATTTTAAAACAAAGATGAAAAAAGTTTTGCGGATTTTTAAAAAAAATTCGCGGATTTTCAAAAATTTAAATATTTTTACAAAATTATAAACCTCTAAAACACAAATTTTTAAAATTTCAATCATTAATAAACCTTCCCTGGGGTCCCTAGATGTCCCAAAAAAAATTTGGGCCCGATCGGTTCAGCCGTTTTGACGTTTATTGGATACAAACAGACAGACAAACACCAAAACACCCAAACAGACAAGCCAAAGGAATTGAGTTTTTGCCACAAATTCAGTTTTTGTAAAACCAATATCTTTGCAGCCTTATGATATAAACCTTTGATATTTCAAACTTACATTATTTGATCCAATATCATTCATAGTTTGAAATAGTAAAGGTCTACGACATTAGGCTGCAACGATATGGAAATTAGAAAATCAGAGTTTGTTGCAAAAACTCAATTCCTTTATATATAGATTAGAATATTAGAATATCAGAATATCAGAGTTTGAGGCAAGTTCCTTTATTATAAACACATTTTCTACGCAAAGCGATTTTTTCCATGAAATATTGAAGCGAAAAGATATTATGAAAATCCATGTAGACTTATATTTAGATATAATCCGAATTTACGTCAATTTGAATCTTTTAAAATTTCAAGATTACTCTAAAAATCTCAACAGTTTTGGCATCTTGTAAAATTTTTAAAAGGAATTGAAAATCCATGCCTAGACTGGGATTTAAATTAAATCCAAATTGTAATTTTGGTTTTAAAAATTTCACGAATATTTAAAAAATTTAAAGATCATTTTTTAAATTTTAAGATTTTTTCCAAATTTTAAGATTATGTTTGAAGATTTTAACAGAATCATTGAAAGGGATTAAGTATTTTTTTATAAGCTTATTTACTTACAAATAATTAAATTTAAATTAAGACACATACTATGCTTATGTTTAGGTCATTATTGCAAAATTATAAAAAGATGTCCCCCCCCCCCCCCCCCCGAAACACACAAATATGTATGGCCAAACTAAGCCAACATTTTTTTTACTTTTGTGAGGCATGTTTGAAATAAAAAGATAAAAAATAATAAATTATTTTATGAACTATATCAACAAAAACGTTTCTTCTCAATCTTTCGATAAATCTAATTAAAAATAAGAATACAATCTTATTTAAAAATGTTTAAGCTGTTTATGATTATAAAAAGTCACAATTGAATGAAAAATGTAAACTTCAAGAAGACACAGGATCCAAACAAATTCAACGCTTAATCTCAGCAATTTGACATTAATCCCATAAAGCTTTTTTTTCTGTCTAATATCGATATTCAGATTTATTCTTTCTAAGCAACCCAGATCAAATCAAAAACTCTAATTTTCAGTCATAAATATATGATCTGAACGTTTGCCAAAGTATAGTTCCGGATTATAATATTAGAGTTTGAGGCGTGTTTATTAACAATTGAATTAACTAAAAATCGTTAAAAACAAATTTCTTAGCAGTAGCACCCTAATCTTATTGCATGACATGACATGAAATTTACTAAAGCGTATTTGAATGTATATTTTTGTCCCAAAATATAATTATGGAATAGCCAAAAATATTACCATAAAAATAAATCAATAATCAACCAATATAATAACAATTATTTTTTGTGGGAATGATTATATTTTTTTGTAAAAAAATATATTTTTTTGTTCGAAAATGGTTTTATATTTTACTAGGCTTTAAGGGCGCTTCGCGTCCATCTTCTATTTCAACTTTTAATTGTGGCTTTATCTGTGAGCAGCTTCACTTTGTACAATATAAAACAAAAGCAAAAAAAAGTTTGCGGATTTCAAGCAAAGCCAAATTCATAAATAGATGAGTAATATCGGGAAATGCACACCCCTCCTGATTTGAGCTCTGACTTTTATAAAAAATGCATAAATGAAATTTCCCAAGAAATGGTGCTTCAAGCTGGAAATGAAAAGCGGAATGAGGTTGAATGGGTAATAAGCAGGAACGGAAATTATATAAAATTATGGATATAAAACTTCAACAAATTTTCTTGCAAAATAGTTTAATGTTTGATGATGTTAATCATTACCTTCCATTTTACATTTAAAGTTATTTGAATAAAGGGACTTCCGTTGTAATTTCAAGATAATTTTCATACATTTAAGGTTGCCGTTGTGAATCGGACATGCCACTCTTAAAAATACTTAAAATTATGTCTCCAGAGTCCGAAGTTAATGAATTTGAGCCGCGTCTCAAATCCCCCTAATCTCAAATCAATTGAGCGCCGGCTTAAATTTTGAAACATTTAATACGATTTTAAGTGGAACCAACAATGTTTGAGCTGCAGCTCAAGCCGAGGCTAAAATTCTTTAAATTCGCCCTCAGTTCCTTTAAATGGAATTCGCCCTCAGTTCCTTTAAATGGAATTCGCCCTCAGTTCCTTTAAATGGAATTCGCCCTCAGTTCCTATAGATGGAATTCGCCCTCAGTTCCTATAAATGGAATTCGCCCTCAGTTCCTTTAAATGGAATTCGCCCTCAGTTCCTATAAATGGAATTCGCCCTCAGTTTTCATTTAAATGGAATTCGCCCTCAGTTCCTTTAAATGGAATTTTTTCCACACATTGTGAAATTTATGTGCTTTGAAAATGTGTAATTTGGACAGAAAAAAAGTTTTGTAGATAATTCCATTGAACATGAACAAAAATTTAATTTTTAAAATCTCTAAACATTATAAATATGTAAAGTTTAAACTTTAAAGCTGTGTCATAAACTTTGGTAATTACAAGTAATGTTAAAATTAAGATTTCTTTAAACTTCTGAACAAAGGTAATCTTTATTAAATAGTTCTGTGCTCTACCAAATTAAATTCAAGAAATTTTGAGGGAATTTTCAGTAGCTCTGCTACTGCTTTTTAAAGTGCATTGTAAGAGTATTCTCGTCTCACGCAAAACTGCAAAGACATAGGTATGTCCGAGCTGCATCGAACTAAACTCATTCGAAAATTAATCTTTAAATTAAAAACAATTAGGATTATATACTATGCTACTCTAGCGTATTTCCGTCTAAAAAAGTACAAAAAATCAAGTACGACAACGGAATTTAGTCTTTGAAACAAACTGAAATTTTCCAATCTCTATATTTTTACAACCCAATAGTGCAAACCTTTGAAATTTCAAACTTATATTTTTTGATCTAACAGTATTGATAGTTTGAAATATTTAATGTCTACGACATTGGGATGCAAAGATATAGGGATAAGATCACAGTTTGTAGCAAAAGCGCAAATCCTTTTTATTTGCTGTGTGATAACGCGCTGGCTCGAAAAATTTAGATTTACTGACAATCCCTGTTTTGTACTCATTAACTAAAGATTATCTATTCAAAATTTGTATTTTCTTACCGTAATAATTTTATATTTAGGGGTTGAAAACTTGTCGATATTGTACTGCAATTTCTTGTTATCATCTAGCACCTGTACAACTACACCCGTACTCGCACATATCACCTTCAACAATAATAGAATTTGGAAATATTCATCAAAATATTAATGAATTAATTAAAAATATTAATGAAAAAAATAAATGAAAAACATGTAAAATTATGACAAAATATTAAAAATAAATATTTATGAAATCATTAATAAAGATTATGAATAGAAAATATTATTAGAAAATGTTCATAACAAATATTTGTGATTTTTTTTATTTTGATGGAGTCGAGTGGGGCCGTTTCATGTGAAAAAAATTATTGCAAGAAGTTACCAAGAATTATTAAAGATTTAGAAGAATTATTGAAGGAGAAAATGTGGTGGAAAAAATGTTTTGTGTTTAAAACTAGACAAGAAAGGGGGGATTTGTCCTGATGATGTTTTACTACCCTTGATCAAATAAATAACGAGAAGTTTAACTGCAGAAAATGAAAAAAAACATGTTTTTGCATATTTTAGAATATCTCAAAAGACCCTGTACAGGCCAAATGATAACATTCCGTCAACGTAAGACAAAATAGTTAATTTTGAGATATACACGATCAAACGAAAAATCAAACCGTTAATAAAAAACAGAAAATAAAAGAAAAGACGAATTTTGTTGATAATTCTGCTTAAAATTGCATGAATCTTACAACAAATGAATACATATTTATTACGTGTGCTCTGTTTTTATCCCGCTCATCATGTCATATTTTTACATTAAAAATTACATAAAATAATCGTTACTGGCACCACATTTAAAAATATCGAACGTTAACGCCGTTTATATAATGGAGATATTTAACTAACTGTAACTTTATGACAAATCGAAAAAAACGATCAACTGAACGGAACGTTCAGTTGTCAGCTAAAAACGAGCGGATTCATGAAAATTTGGTCGTTTCCGTTATTTTAATTGTAACAGTTAACGAACGATTTGAGAAAAGCCTAAACGTGCCCAGCGAAATTTTTTTTTTAAAATGAAGCAAATAAACTTAATTAAAATATTTTTTTCTTATTTTGTTCTGGTTTCTTATTAAAGCGTTATCGTTTAGTTTCTGGTTTAAAATCAGTTTTTTCTCCTTATTTACCTCTCACTTAAAATGATCAGTTTTTTACTTTTAAGTTTTTATTTTGATATCGTTTACTTTTTAACTTTTAAAATTTTTTTTTTTTGAATCTGCTAACCTGTGAGTAAGGTATGGAGGGACCAAGACAATGCTGAATAAAGTTGGAGAGATCTGGAGACATAAAAACCTGGAATTCATTAATTAATAAATTGATTTAAATTCATTGATTGTTAAATTTAAGGGACTGTATACTGTAATTTAAGGGACTGTATACTGTAATTTAAGGGACTGTATACTGTAATTTAAGGGACTGTATACTGTAATTTAAGGGACTGCATACTGTAATTTAAGGGACTGTATACTGTAATTTAAGGGACTGTATACTGTAATTTCAGCTCATCCTCTTTTTGTAGAGTTGCATATATCCGACCCACAATTCCGTACTTTTTGAACTCTCAACAAAATTGCGGGAGATATCCTTGTTTATTTTGAAAATTGATAATTTTCCATTGTGGTTTCTCTTGTAAGAGACTTGCAAACGCATCCAGCAGAGACGATGAAGAAAATGACAAAGGAAGAAGGGTCACTTCAAAGTTCAGTCCCTTTAAGGCTTAAAGGAACGGATCAGGGTGAGAAATATAGAGATGGGTTGGATCAGGGTGAGATTAGAACAGAAGGGTTGGATCAGGATGAGTTTAGAACTGTAGGGTTGGATCAGGGTGAGATTATAACGGAAGGGTTTGATCAGGGTGAGATTAGAACGGAAGGGTTGGATCAGGGTGAGATTAGAACAGAAGGGTTGGATCAGGATGAATTTAGAACTGAAGGGTTGAATCAGGGTGAGATTAGAACAAAAGGGTTGGATCAGAGTGAGATTAGAACGGAAGGGTTTGGTCAGGGTGAGATTAGAACGGAAGTGTTGGATCAGGGTGAGATTAGAACGGATTAGGGTAAGATTAGAACAGAAGGGTCCAATCAGGGTGCAGTTAGATTAGAACGGATTAGGGTAAGATCAGGGTGAGATTAGAATGGATTAGGTTAGGATCAGGGTGAGATTTGAACGGAAGGGTTGGATCAGGGTAGGACAAGAACGGAAGTGTTGGATCAGGGTAAGATTAGAACAGAAGGGTTTGATCAGGGTGGGTCTAGAACGGAAGTGTTTGATCAGGGTGGAACTAGAACGGAAGTGTTGGATCATTGTGAGATTAGAACGGATTAGGGTTGGATCAGGGTGAGATTAGAACGGATTAGGGTTGGATCAAGGTGAGATTAGAACGGATTAGGGTTGAATAGGGTAGGATCTGAACGGAAGGTTTGGATCAGGGTAAGATAAAAACGGAAGAGTTGGATCAGGGTGAGATCGGAACGGAAGGGATGGATCATGGTGAGACGAGAAGAGAAGGATTGGATCAAGATGAAATTAGAACGAACATGATGGATCAGGGTGAGATTAGTACGGAAGGGTTCAATCAGGGTGCAGTGAGATTAGAACGGATTAGGGTTGGATCAGGGTGAGATTAGAACGGAAGAGTTGGATCAGGGTGAGGTTAGATCGGATTAGGGGTGTATCAGGGTGAGTTAAGAACGGATTATGGTTGGATCAGGGTGAGATTAGAACGGAAGAGTTGGATCAGGGTAAGATTAGAACTGAAGGGTTGAATCAGGGTAAGATAAGAACGGAAGGGATGGATCAGGGTGAGATTATAACGGAAGGGATGGATCAGGGTGAGATGAGAAGAGAAGGGTTGGATGAAGATGAAATTAGAACGGATATGTTGGATCAGGGTGAGAGTAGAACAGGAGGGTTGGATGAGGGTGAGATTATAACGGATCAGGGTTGAATCAGGAAGAGATTAGAACGGATCAGTGTAAGACGAGACTGGATCAGGGTTGGATCAGGGTAAGAAAAGGACTAAAGGGTGGGATCAGGATAATGAATATACTACCTCTGAAAACTGACAGCCTGCATTGCAGGTTAAACACTCTGCTGAACTACTCCCGTTCCTCGAACTCCAACCTCCTGTAGAACTCTTCTCTTCCTTGTCAAGAGGTTGTCTGTATAGATGTTGACTCTGAGAGGCAGGGAAGGAAGGGTCGGATCCAAGGAAATAACTAGAAAAATAAAAAAAAAACAGTTAATGAATAATTAAATTTGCCTTTTACCCCTTTCCCACCACATCATGCACTCCCAACCAACCCGGCCGATAGAACAAGCTGTACAGTACACATACAAACTAAATAAGGCAAAACGGGACAATGCATTAGTTGTATTTATTCTTAATATGAAAAGAAACACAAAAAAGCTACTTTCTAGGGGATAAAAGTAAGGTTTCCAACGCAATTTTAGTTGCGCACTATTGCGAGCCCTTTAAATTTACGCAATTCAGCACAATTCCGAACAATTCAACGCAATTCAACACAATTTCACGTAATTTCGCGTAATTCCGCGCAATTCCGTGCAATTCGGAACAATTCTGCATCATTTTCCGCGTAACGGAATTGCGATTGGAGACCCCAAGTTTTGTCGACTCAGTATTTTTATTTAAAGTATAAATTGAAATAAATTATATTTTACTTTTTTCAAAATATTCGTGATACGGTATCCAAATTTGTGTGACTATAGGAGCACAACTGATTAATTTTTATCACTCAAAGATGTTTCAAGCCCAGGATGAAAATTATTTGCTTTAATTCTGATAATTCATGAACGTTTTCCTGCAGTAGATATGCTCAAATCACTTTTATAGAGAACCCTGAATTGAAAATAGTAATTTTCTAAAAAATATAAAATACTTAAATTAAAACTGTATCAGACAAAGCCTTAAAAAGGGTACCGTTGCGAATCGGGCATTGTCATATTTGCATGGTGGGTCACTTGAAATTATACTTACAGACTCTTTAAAGTACTTACATTGCGTTAATTTTTGGATCCCATCCCAGTATTCTATGGACCTTCCATGGACCATGTGTAAGAAGGCGAGGACCAACTGCCCCTGGGTCCGCCAGACTTCGGACCAAAATATGTGGATAGTAACCTTCATCTCCTTCACGCTTCAGAGATATGTACGCAATCATATCTTGGTCTCTAGACACAGATACGCACATTTAATAATTTATATTTTTCATCTTCATTTTCATATTTTTTCAATATTTTATTCTTGAGTATTTAAATCAATAAAGGAACTGATCACTCGCCTCAAATTGTAATTTTCTAATCCTTATTTCCTTTCAGCCTGATGGTGTAAACCTTTCATATTTCATTGACTAATTTATGCAACAGAATTCAGAATTTTGATATATTAAAGGTCTAAGATAACGGTTTGCAAAGATTAAAGTGTTAGAAATTTAGAGTCTGAGTAGAGTAATCAGTTCCTTAAAAACTCCCCGGCTATTATATTTTAAAATGTAGAGGATCAACGTACATCTGCTGCATTTTAATCGTCATAGAAATTAAAAAATAATCTCATGAATTTATGAATTACTATTTAACTGAATCTGAAAATGCTATAAATTATCTTAAATATTTCAAACTATCTATTCTGTTAGATCAAATAATCTAAGTTTAAGGTATTAAAGTATACACCATAAAGTTGCAGCAAATATACAGGAATAAGAAAATAAGCAATTATTGCATATTTTTTTTTAACCAACAAAAAAATCCCAAAATTAATTTTAGAATATATTTTGTGTATATTCCTGTTGACGACTGGTGGGAAGGGAATGTGGGGCAGGGTTTCCAATCCATAGTTTGAAGCGTGCTCAAAAAATATCTAAAACAAAGTGTCATTCCTGTAATTGAATTATTTATGTTTTGGTAAAAACTTTTTTAATATATATACATAGATATTGAAAATTTCTTCAACAGACTTCTCCAAAAGAAAACGTGAAATGCAATTTAGAATATTTCATATATATTCAATATTCATATATGATTGACATATATAGAGATACACAGGGTGAGTAAAAATAACTGTATTAACATTATTTTACACATAACTCCTTTTTTTTGCAGGGCTTATGTTTTCTGTTGAAAAATATTGAAATATAGTTTAACATTTTTTCTAATCTTGTTTTTAAAGAAATTGTTAAGAAAACGATTATTCTATTCTGTTAACAATATATACATAGTTAATTTAATTCTATATATATATATAGATACAATTAAAATTACCAAAATTCACAAATAAATAACTGAGAGTTTGCAAAGGTTAGATTTGTATGTTTCATTTTATCGAGTAGTTCCACTTAAAATTTTAAAATTTTTTCTTTGCTTGATATCTTTTGTTTAGCTTGATAGATTTTTAGAATATAATTAACATTTTCCAATCCTGCTTTTTACTCCTCCTGTATATGAATATACAAGTTTAAATTCCAAAACGTAGATTAACCTTTCCTTGAAATAACATGAAATATTCAGAAAGAAACAGCAACGTTTGGTCAAAAAACAAAACATAAAATACTAAGGGTTGAAATTTATAATTTTTATAAAATATTTTATAAGAAAAAGTATAATAGTTAAAACTAAGTACACCTCTAATAAAAAGTCAAGAGCTTTGTTATTTTGAACATACTATAGCTAAATGCAGAAAACAACTATATATTTGTTTCCGAACATAATAAGAAATATAAGAAATATGCATCCAGGTTTTAGAATAAATTTACAAATAGCAGAATAAAATCTAGAAAAATAAACAAATAAAAATGTAAAAGTTGAATAATTTCAACATTGTGTTTTTGTTTATTTGCATTTTCAGTTTGTCAACAATCTGAATAAGAGATCTGTTAAAGGAAGAAACTTAAACAGGGAATCAGCTTGATACATCTTTATAAAATAAGTAATCACTGTTACATTTTACCTGTACATTTTACAGTACTCCAAATGTACTGCAAGGGATAAATATTATCTGTGTACATGCTCCAAGTGTACAGCAAAGGACAAAGTTTACCTGACGTGGCCATGTGTACTGCAAGAGATAAATATTATCAGTGTACTTACTCCAAGTGTACTGCAATGGTTACCTGTTTGCATGCTCAATGGGTACCTGCAAGGGTTACCTATGAAAATCCACCAAGTGTACTGCAAGGGTCACCTATGTACATACTCTAAACATACTGTAAGGGTTACCTGTGTACATGCTCCAAGTGTACTAAAAGGGTTACCTATGTACATGCTCAAAGTGTACTGCAAGGGTTACCTGTGCACATGCTCCATGTGTACTGCAAGGATTACCTGTGTACTTGCTCCAAGTGTGCTGCAAGGGTTACCTGTGTGCATGCTCCAAGTGTGCTGCAAGGATTGCATGTGTACTTGCTCCAAGTGTACTGCAAGAGTTACCTGTTTACATGCTCCAAGTGTACTGTAAGGGTTACCTGTGTACATGCTCCAAGTGTACTGCAATGTGAAATGAATCTAAGATCTTGTTGTCTAGAAAGCCATGTTATCAAAACTTCATTATTTGAACTCCATCCAACACTTTCTACATAATAGGACCTACACAGATTAATTGGTTATTAGATTATTATAAAGTATCAATAAATTAAAAACTATCAAATTACTTTGTAATAATCAATAAACTAATCTAAAAATAAATTAAAATAAATTAGTAATTTTGGATTGATAATCCAATTAAAAATAAATTAATAAATTACATAGTTGATAATAAATCGATGGATAGTTTGAATAAATAAATTGAATTGAAACTGAATAAATAAATTAAAATATGAATTATTTCACGAATAGTGTTACCTATTCTGAAGCTGGGAGGGAGGAAGAATTTCAACTCTTTTGAAGGTTTGGAAATTATAGAAATGCAACCGAATTTCAGGGATATTGCCTCCAACCTGAAATTATAGAAATGCAGCCGAATTTCAGGGATATTGTCCACACCCTGAAATTATTGACATAGAACCGAATTTCAGGGATATTGCCTCCAACCTGAAATTATAGAAATGCAACCGAATTTCAGGGATATTGCCCCCAACCTGAAATTATTGACATAGAACCGAATTTCAGGGATATTGCCCCCAACCTGAAATTTATGACATAGAACCGAATTTCAGGGATATTGCCCCCAACCTGAAATTATTGAAATAGAACCGAATTTCAGGGATATTGCCCCCAACTTGAAATTATTGAAATAGAACAGAATTTCAGAGATATTTTAAAAATAACTCTGATTTTCAGTTCGGACATTTTCCCAGCAAGCTGTGACTCTTGATCACAATACAATAACTTTTCACTTTTTCTCTTTTATACTTTTTTTAAATATTTGATTTTTTATAAACTTTCAGGGGCAACACCGGGCACTTCAGCTAGTTTAATTAAATCACTGTAAATTTTAGACCATAATTGATATTTTATTAAATTATTATTTGAACTGACATTGAATCCAGATCAAAGAGAAGTTCATTAAATAACAATTTTCAAACATAATCCGTACTTCAAGTTCCAGCATCAATACCATATACATATATTTGGATGTAGGATGATAACTCATGAACCCCTTGAAAATTTTAAGATAAGGGGATTGTCTATTTTAACGAAAGCACGGTTTTCAGGCAAAACTTTGCCTAAAAGCCAAGTATTCTCTTTAAAATTCAACCTATACTTGCATCTCGTAAACCAGGCTAAGAACATTCCCCGGGATCTACAATCCCGAAATCAAGATTGGAGGCAAATCGGTAAAAGGGTTAATGAGTTCAGATAAACAGAGATTAGTACTTTATATATATCTTCATTTATGTCATTATATATATCTAGTAATTTACAGACTATAATTAAAAAATGGGTAAATATACTTGATATAAAAAATCGATGAAATTCTAAAATAAATGTTCGTTAGAAGACTGAATTTAATATATACAGAGTGAGTCAAAAAAAAGTCTGATTTGCGGCGCCTGTTGCAAAATTGTACTCTTTTTTGTCCAACTCTCTTGTATGGTGTTTTATCAATATTTTTTGAAAATTTTAAATTTTTTTTGGTAATTCAATGACCCAAAAAAAAATCCGCGATTTTTTTTCTCACAAAATCGAAAGTTCAGAAAAACAAAAATGTGCAAATAAATTGATAAATCGAAATCTAAAATTTTAAAAGGATTAAATCACAGAATCTCAGAAAATTTGCAAAATTGTAATAAGAAAATTCGCAATTTTCAGTTCTGGCATAATTTTTATGGAAAAATAGTTGTTCAATGGTTCTTATGGTTTCAAACGAACAGCGTATATTTAATACTTAAGAATAAACTAAGAATAAAGGACCTAGATAATTTGAATAACTTTTCTTTAAAATTTAGAACAGAACTAAAAATTGCGAATTTTGTTATTACAATTTTGCGAATTTTCTGTGATTCTGTGATTCAATCTTAATAAAATTTTATATTTCGATATAAATAGGTAATGTATACATTTTTGCTTTTCTGAACTTTTGATTTTGAGAGATAAAAATGTTCGCGGATTTTCTTTCAGGCCATTTTAGTACCAAAAAATTACAAAGGAATTGAGTTTTTGCCACACACTCAAATTTACTAATCCCTTTATATTTGCAACCTGATGGTGTTATCCTTTGATATTTCAAACTTAGATTATTTGAACTGACAGAATTTATAGTTTGAAATATTTAAGATCTACGACATTGGGCTGCAAAGAAATAGGGATTAAAAAATCATAGTTTGTGACAAAGACTCAATTCCTTTTCAAAAAATATTGAAAACCCACCATACAGGAGAGTTGCTCAAAAAAGTACAATTTTGCACCAGGCGCCACAAATCACACTTTTTTTTGACTCACTCTGTATATTTTCGATAAATTTTAAAATTATTATCAATATTATTGAAATATTTGAAAAATATTATGGAGAGTATAATATTTATATTAACGTTATAAACCATTCACAGAACTTTATACCGAAAATATATTTTTATACTGGTCCATACAACACAAGAGCACGAGCATTTGCTATCAACTCACTTCCTATCAACTCTCTTGCAATTAAAATCACTTTATATAAGCCTCCAGTACTATATAAACATTTGCAATCAAACTCATTTACTATCAACTCATTTGCGATCACATTCATTTGCTATCCGGCCTCCACTGCTATCAACATTTGCTTTCAATTCACTTGCAATTAAAATCACTTTATATAAGCCTCCAGCGCTATATAAATATTTGCAATCAAACTTATTTACTATCAACTCAGTTGCGATCACATTCTTTTGCTATCAAGACTAATTTGTTATCCGGCCTCAACTGCTATCGACGCATTTGCTATCAGGCCAATTTGCGATCAGGCCAACTTGCTATCAAACTTAGTTGCCATCAACAATTTTGTTATCAATTATCGTTTGCTATAAAATTTTTAAGTTGCTCTCAATCCTTACTTTGCCAATTTCTTTCCAAGAAATCCGTGAAAATGAAAAAAATTTCTTAAAATTTGGAATGCTTAATTCTAGAGCTAATTTTGCGTAGGCATGGAACCGACTCGTTTTGTCTTCTCAAGTAAAGGCACCAACTTTTTAAAAGATAGCAATAACTACTTGTATTTTATCTACTAAGACAAGACATACAATACACATTCCACCTGCAGGTGCCAGAAATACAGGAATCCAACGAACAGGTTTTGATAACAACTTATTTAGAAAACACCAAGTTTATGATAGCAACTAAGAACAGGTTTTGATAGCAACTTATTTAGAAAGCACCAAGTTTATGATAGCAACTAAGAACAGGTTTTAATAGCAACTTATTTAGAAAGCACCAAGTTTATGATAGCAACTAAGAACAGGTTTTATAATAGCAACTTATTTAGAAAGCAACAAGTTTATGATAGCAAGATAGGTTTTAATAGCAACTTATTTAGAAAGCACCAAGTTTATGATAGCAACTAAGAACAGGTTTTATAATAGCAACTTATTTAGAAAGCAACAAGTTTATGATAGCAAGATAGGACTGGTTTTGATAGCAATTTTTTTAGAAAGCAACAATTGTTTATGATAGCAACTAAAAACTGGTTTTGACAGCAACTCATTTAGAAAACTATTAATTTTGATAGCAACGTATTTAGATAGTAACTAATTTCGGTTAACAGATGAGCATTGATAGCAGTTGAGACTGGAGAGAAAAAAAAGCTTTTGATAGCAAGTGAGGCCTGATAGAAAATTGACCGGATAACAAGTGTTGCGAAAGCAAGTATACTCTGGGCGCAATAAGGCCGAGAGCAAGTGAAACAGATTGAAAGTGAAATAGATAGAAAGTGAATTGATAGCAAGTGAGGCTGATAGCAAATGAGGCTGATGGTAAGTGAATTGATAGCAAGTGAGGCTGATAGTAAATAAGGCTGATTGCAAGTGAGTTGATAACAAATGAGGCTGATATTTAATGAGGCTGATAGTAAATAAGGCTGATAGTAAGTGAGTCGATAGCAAATGCTCGTGATAGAATACAACAGGGTCACCAGGAAAGGATGAGACTTTTAACGGTTTGTAGAAGTAATTCTAATTCATAGATTTTAAACCTTTGTCTCATGATGATGTAAATATCTTTGTATGTTTTTTTTATCCTCAAAATTAATAATTTTTATCCTATATTTCATAACTTGCTAAATTACGCAGCAGAGACTAGGAAGGATTTTTTTTAGTATTTGTTGAATTCTAGTGAGAAAAACGGCGATATCTTTCCATACATTAATCATTTTAAAGTTCAATAAGTACGGTTGTGATTCAGACATGCAATTTTTTATATCACGTCGGCAGTACTTTAAAAAGGTGAGTTACTCAACAAAAAAAAAGATATTTCAAAGACGACTTTACAGGTTAGATTTATTAGATTCATGGTTCTTTGAAGCGATGAACTTTTTTATGAAATTACGTTTTTCTTTTGATATTTATATTCATGTCACATGTTCCTTGGATGTGTTTAACGTAAGTTTTAAATTGATAAAAAGTTTAAATTTCAACTCATGCAGGATAAAATCTTATTTCTAGAATATATTCATTCTTTTTCAATGAAAAAACAACCAATAATCATCGATAATTTTTCGACGCATTCGTAAATAGTTGATATCTTATAATATTTAATTTTAATGATCTGATAGTTACTTTTGAAAACATTTATTCCTGTTTCGAGGATTTTTGATAATGAAACGACATTTTCATATTTTCCAGGAATGTTCGAAAATCCAGCGCCAGCGATATACGAATGAGTCGAAAAATAATCGATGACTATTGTTTGTAATATCTGAATGATTTGTTTGGACTTGAATTCATTATTTTACCATCCGAGTTGAACATTGCAACTTTCTGAATTTGTATGGACGCTATACGTTCTTCAGCAGGGGTCGTTTATAACAATTTGCTCCTTATAGACGCAACAGATAGTAGCGGTCAAAAGCGCTTATTTTTCGCCGAAAGCCCCCTTTCATTTATCGCGAACACTCCCTTTAAACACCACTGTCCCTTTAAATTCTTACCTTAGGGAATTTGATGGATAGATCTTTAACAGACGCTTCTCCGTTCAATATATGAGGATACCGGAGCAATCCAACCCTGGAAATTATATTTTTAATCAGCAGAACTACATTTTCTGTATTATTAATTATAAAATATAAATGATATTATAAATAATTAGTAAAGAAACCAAGGTGATTACATCTTAATGTATCCGGTTCATTACTCGGTTATTCATTATTAATAAAAATATGACTGACATTATGTCGATAAAAACAAGATGTACATTATTGTTAGTTTCACGTGCTATCTTAACCATATACAGAGTAAGTCAAAAAAAAAAGGTTGATTTGTGCAACTGTCCTGTATGGCGTTTTTTCAATAGTTTTTGAAATTTTTTTTTTTTTGGTATTCCAAAGGTTAAAAAAATCCGCAACTCAAAATCAAAAGTTCAGAAATGCAAACATTTGTATATAAATTATTTCTATCAAAATCTAAAATTTTATAAAGATTGAATCACAGAAAATTTGCAAAATTGTAATGACAAAATTTGCAATTTTCAGTTCTAGCCTAATTTTTAAGGAAAAGTGGGTTTTCAATGGTTCTTAAGGTTTCAACAGAACAGCGTATATTTTAAACTTGGTTGGTTTTGATAGAGAATAAGGCTCAATGTTGAGTTTTGTTCTCATAAAAACCCGGAATGCGCCAATTCCAACAATGAAAATCCGCCAAATATTAAACCAGTTTTTTTGAACTCAACTCTGTGGAAAATAAGATTCAGCTAGAATCCGAACCCCCATGCCGTAAGGCCCAACGATAGCTTAGACCCGTGTCGTAATTAAACCGGGGGGGGGGAGTCTTTGTATCCTACAGTTATACCTGGAGCAGTTAATACTAGAGTAAACCATATTCATGTGATCCGAAGACACCCAGATACCAGATCTAGGACCCAGGATTCGTTCTATAAATAGATTAAATTAAAGGGATTGTATCATTTTCAAATTTACGAATTTGTTAAAAATTTACATTTTTTAAAACATCAACCCACCACAGACTTTCCTTGTGAAGAACCACGTAAAAAAGGGCCTGATCGGTTCAGCCGTTTTAACGTTTATTGGATACAAACAAACTCAAATTTTAGGTCCGTTTCCTCATATTTTTGATCCGTTTCCGCTTTTTTCAAAAACTTAAAAATTTCAATTTGTTGATCGGTTTCCTCAAATTTTAGGTCCGTTTCCTTATATTTTTGATCCGTTTCCGCTTTTGTTAAAAACTTTAAAAATCTCAATTTGTTGATCGGTTTTCCTCAAATTTTAGGTCAGTTTCCTCATATTTTTGATCCGTTTCCGCTTTTTTCATAAACTTTAAAAATCACATTTTTTTGATGGGTTTCCTCAAATTTTAGATCAGTTTCCTCATATTTTTGATCCGTTTCAGCTTTTTTTAAAAACTTTAAAAATCTCAATTTTGTTATCGGTTTCCTCAAATTTTAGGTGCGTTTCCTCATATTTTTGATCCGTTTCCGCTTTTTTTAAAAACTTTAAAAATCTCAATTTGTTGATCGGTTTCCTCAAATTTTAGGTCCGTTTCCTCATATTTTTGATCCGTTTCCGCTTTTTTCAAAAACTTAAAAAATCATAATTTGTTGATCGGTTTCCTCATATTTTAGGTCCGTTTCCAGAGACAGGTTCTGGTTCTGATCTAGCTTCTCAGTCGGACTATAAAATTTGAGGGTTACATATTTTTATTTATGCTTCACACAAAATATTTTTTTTAAAATTTACATATGTATTATCTCCGTATCACGATTATGTTAAAGATAAAAAATTGATGGTTTTATTTTTACAAAAAAGGTTGTACGATGATAGCATGATAGTACATTCACTTGTAATTTGCGGATACATTTTTTTTTACTTTTTTTCCCACATTTAAGTTTGTTTTATTGTAGAAATAAATCCTTTTTCAAGTATTTTGGACTATGAAGTTAAAACGATTTACAGTATTACAGAGAACTATTTTTTTAGGTTTGACTAAATGAATTTAACGAAAAAAATTATGCATTCAAACATTGACAATGTTGTAATTTCAACAAAACATTTACACGTTACATAATTAGATAACATATCGGAGCGCGAGTTAAAATAATGCATGAAAGATGTGTCCTATAATTTAATATTTCTATGGCTGAACCAAGCAAAAATCAAAATGTACCTTATAGTATACTCCACAAAAGTTTAGAGAATCGATTAATCTACAAAGTTGAAATATTAATTTATTCAATTGATCTTAACTTGTTTAAAAGACATAAATAGCAGTCTTTTGAAATAGTTTTCCTGTTGTAAAATTTGGGATCAAAATGAAGGCATGGAGACAGAATGGCAAAGGCTTAAAGACAGTTTTACGGGGCTCGGAAGGTATTGCGTACATCAGGAGGCTCCGGAGGTCTCTCTTTTCACAAGTTTTTTTTTAAGTTTGATCTAAACCCAACAATGGATCAAAAACTAAGCGAAATGAAAAGAAATTGCTAAAAAGTAATAGTAGATTTTTATGGTTCTGTAAACTGTAGAAACTGATCAACAATAAAAGATTTTTGAAAAAAAGGAAACGGATCAAAAATATGAGGAAACGGACCTAACATTTGAGGAAACCGATCAACAAAATGAGATTTTTAAAGTTTTTAAAAAAACGGAAACGGCTAAAAAATATGAGGAAACGGACCTAAAATTTGAGGAAACCGATCAACAAAATGTGATTTTTAAAGTTTTTGAAAAAAGCGGAAACGGATCAAAAATATGAGGAAACGGATCTAAAATTTGAGAAAACCGATTAAAAATATGAGGAAACATATCAATTTAAAAGTTTTTGAAAAAAGCGGAAACGGATAAAAAAAATGAGGAAACGGACCAAAAATATTGGGAATCCCCCCAAAAATATTTGAATAAAATAAAGAGGAAACGGATATACAATTCTGGGAAATCGATAAAAAAAATAGAAAACTCCTCAAAATTTGAATTTAGAGGGATTTCCGAAAAATTTGAAGAAATCGCGGTAATGCCTCAAAAAAACAGGTTTTTGAGGGGGTTCCGCGTATTTTTGATCCGTTTCCGTGTTGAGTCGTTTCCATGTTGAGGCGATTCCATTTCACCCAAAGGATGAGACTTATAAAAGACGACTTTATGAAATTTATGCTTTTTTTTGGTCACATTTATCGTGTCCGGCAATTTTTAGGAACTGAGTCTTTGTTACAAACTCAAATTTTTTAAATTCCTGTATCTTTGCAGCCTTTGATATTTCAAACTTAGATTATTTCATCTAACAGAATTCATAGTTTAAAATATCTATGGTCTACGACTTGGGTTGCAAAGATATAGGGAGTCGAAAAGTAGAGTTTGTAGAAAAGACTCAATTTCTTTAGGTCGTCTTTACAGTCTCATCCCTTGTGGGTAACCCTGTATTTTACACATTTTCCTTGTATGTGTGGCATTCGTGTGTTTGTTATCAACGTCAAAAAAGCTGAACAGAATGAGCCAAGACATTTTGTGGGGCTTGTCATGGCGTCGAATATGATTTTATCCGACATAGGATCACGAATGTCCTCTGGTCCCGAAATTAAATATCTAAAAATATCTTCGAGAATATTATTCTTTAATTTAATAAAATTCTACTTTAAAATAGACAAATAAAATTTTGAATTCAGAAAGTCATTCTTATAATACATTTTTAAAATCCTTTAAATCTGAAAATTAATTAGTTAATTTAATCTCTAGAGTTCAGTTCATACAAGAGTGCATTTTAAAGCCGGTAACAATTTTCCTGGAAAACTTTTCTAGTTTTTTTTTGTGAAAAATAAAAGAATCTAATTTTTGCCACAAACCTAAATTTTCATGTCCCTATTTCTTCACAACCTGAAGGTTTTAACCTTTGATTTTTCAAAGTTCTACAATTTGATATGACAACATAATTCTTAGTTTGAAATATGTAAGGTTTCTGACATTGGGTTGCAAAGATATAAGGGCTTTGCAAATTTGAGTTTGTAAAAAATGAATCAATTTCTTCGTATATGTGTATTATGTTATAGTTCTGATTTAAAGTATTGTACATTGCCCCCTTCTTTAATCTTTCTACTAACAATATTGGTCCAATTTAATTAGTTCAGACGCTGCATAGTGAGTAAAATATCATTTATTATTTAAGACTTAGATTATTTGATCTTACAGAATTCATTTGTTAAAATAAGGTCTGTGACATCGGATTGCAAAGATTTAGGAATTAATAAATCTGAGTTTGTGGGCAGATTCAATATCATTTTCTTTTTTCTCTCCGCTTTTCTCCAAATAAACACTAATGTCAAACATAATTAAATGATATTAATTAATAAAAATTGACGTTGATTAATATTAATATGTGTAAAAGATACAAAATAATGAGCCAATATTGGTGATTGTTTGTTAAAAAAAAATGTCTATCACCCAAACCGATTTTTCTCATTTTTGTGCAGGACCTCCCATAATCCCATGACTGGTTTATGCCCTTTCAGGGTTTTAAAGTTAAACGTAAAAGTCTGTAATTGGTAAATTTAGAAAAAAAATGGACTTTTGAAATCTAATGTTGTAAGGGAAACCATCGATATTTCAATCTAATGATAGATCAAGAGTCAAACTTTGAAACATGGAAGGTTAACTTCATCATGTTTCAAAGATAAGGATTAGGGATAGGGCTGGTCACGTTAAGACTTTTTTCAAGCCGTTCGTTAACGCACGTTCTTTAGCTTCGAACCAAACGTTCAGGTACATAACTTCGTTATATTCGTCTTTATTTTGAAACACACCCGTTCGTTTATTCATAAACCTTTAAACACCCGTTCGTTTATTTATAAACCTTTGATTTTTTAAGAAAGGATATTTCCGTTCTTTCAAGATTTAAAAACCAATGGTTTTTGCCCTTGTTTAACGGATTGTTCCGTTGTTTCAAGAATTTGTCATTCCTTAACGGAACATTGCCCAGCCTTAGTTGAGTCCAGTGTTCAGTTTATTTACAAGAGATATAGAAAATATTATTGCTCACCTTTATAAAGCCAGTCTGGAGCTCCATTAAATATAGTTCCTGGAATCCCTGTATCTGTAACTCTGACAACCTTCTTCTTGTCCGGGTAGGGTCGGTAGTAGATATCATTCTCCTTGACCACCACTACGCCACCAGACCCTCCGGCCCATAGCACACTCTGCAGCTGCTCCTATCATCATAGATATATATCACACTAAACTAAGCTAGTGGGGTGAGTGAGGTAGGTCAGTAAAAAGTCTTGCCGCGCCGTATAAGTTGAAACCGAGCCGGTATAGTAAAAGGTCAGGGCGGTCAGAATTCAAGTTCACCATAATCCACCGCATACTATAAAGTGCTTAATAAACCACAATAAATGATTGATTGATTAAAGATTTGAAAGTCGTCATTGACCATAGAAATAGTTTGCGGCATTCGCTTGACAACATAATTTCAGATTTTTTTTTCATGAAACATTATTAGCAAATTAAATAGGCCTCTAGGTTTAGCTTTTCCAGAAAGGGTTATTATTTGATGGTTTTGAAATTTTGATAGAATTAAGCAAAAAGTATGTCAGACCACGTTTTAAAATAGCACTGAGGAGAATAAGACGGAGAACACTTTTTTGAAGTAAATTACGATTTTTGACTTTGACTTTTATTTTTAGAAAGTGACAATTTGGTAACAGGATCATATTAGATAAGACCCCTCTAAGTAAAATGATTTTTAATTGAACATACATGCATTGCACCCTATATTTGATATTTGAAATGTTGTTGTTAATGATCACACAAATGTACTTTATCGGCATGCAAACATAAAAACTTTTTAAAATGCTATTTTAGAAATAAATTTATTGATTCTAGATGAAAATACATAATTGATAACGAGTATATTAAAGGAGATCAAGATATGTAGGTCTTATTTGGTTCATAACTCCGACGCTACTAAGGAATTGCCACAAACTCTGATTTTCTAATCCCTATATCTTCACAACCCAATGTCGTAGACTTTAGATATTTTAAACTAGGAATTCTGTTCGATCAAAGAATCTAAGTTTGAAATATAAAAAGTTTACACATAAGGTTGCAAAGATATAGGGATTAGATTAGTTGAGTCTGTTACAAAGACTCAATTCCTTTGAAGAATTTATAATGCTTTTTAGGGGACTTTTAGCCTCTACCCTGTATTTATATATCAAGAGTTTACATTATTATTTCAGCCTGAAAAGTTCTGGTTATTCTATTCATATTTCTCAGAGAATAAAGTTGTCAAATAGAACAAGATGCTTCAGGCTTGTCAGACCCAAAATATCAAGCTTAAACCAAGACAATGAAATATGGTTCTCATTAAAGGGAATGTTGTCGTAAAATAGTAGCATGTTCAATTCACAGCGCTACTTTTTGAATCTTCATTTGACCAATTATGTAACACGTTCACTTTTAAGATTAGATTTTGTTTAAAAACGTGTCTAGACTCTAGATCATTTAAAGTTTCAAGAATAAGTTTAATTGATCAATTATTTTCGTGCGAAGATCAATTCTATTTCAAAATCAATTCTGTTTCAAGATCAATTCTATTTCAGGATTAAATTTGTTCTATGATCAATTTTGTTTCAAGATCAATTTTGATTTAAGATCAATTCTGTTTTAAAATTTATTTTGTTTCCAGGGCAATGCTTTTGTCCAGATCATTTCTGTTTTTAGATTATTTCTTTTTTAAGAGTAATTCTGTTTTAAGATCAATTTTATTTCAAGATCCGTACTGATTTAAGATCAACCCTTTTTGAAATCTGTCATCTTTCAAAATCAATTCTGTCTCCAGAGCAATGCTCTTGTCAAGATTTATTCTGTTTCAAGATCAATTCTGTTTCAAGACCAATGCTGTCTCAAAATCAATTCTGTTTCAAAATTAATTCTGTTTCAAGATCAATTCTGTTTCAAGATCAATTCTGTTTCAAGATCAATTCTGTTTCAAGATCAATTCTGTTTCAAGATCAATTCTGTTTCAAGCTGTTTCAAGATCAATTCTGTTTCAAGATCAATTCTGTTTCAAGATCAATTCTGTTTCAAGATCAATTCTGTTTCAAGATCAATTCTGTTTCAAGTTCAATTCTGTTTCAAGATCAATTTTGTTTCAAAATCAATTCTGTTTCAAGATCAATTCTGTTTCAAGATCAATTCTGTTTCAAAATCAATTTTGTTTCAAGATCAATTCTGTTTCAAGATCAATTCTGTTCCAAGATCAATTCTTTTTTAAATCAATTATCTTTCAAACTCAATTCTGTCTCAAAAACAATGCTATTGTCTAGATCTTAATTCTGTTCAATTATATTTTAAAATCAATTTTGTTTTAAGATCAATTCTGTTTAAAGATCTATTCTTTTCAATTATAATTCAAAATCAATTCTGTTTTAATATCAGTTCTGTTTAAAGATCAATTCTGTTTCAAGATCAACTCTGTTTCAAGAAAAACTCTGTTTCTTTCGAGTTCAATTGTGTTTTTAAAATCAATTCTGTTTCAATATCAATTCTGTTTCAATATCAATTCTGTTTCAATATCAATTCTGTTTCAAGATAAGATCAATTCTATTACCTGGTAGCCCCAGCTTGAATCCTCAGAAATGGAAACTTTGTATTGAGGTGAGGTTATCCTAAACAAATAAGAGTTCAACCTAAAAAATCGTAATGTTGACTAAAAGTCCATTTGTTGGGATTTAAACACAGATTTTCAAATTTTAAAAAGTTTCCTAAATAAACTCAAATTTTCTCATTCTTTGTCTTTCTGACCTGATATTTCAAACAATGTCTTGGAATGAAATATTAAAGGTTTACACCTAAATATGCGTCAATACGTCAATACGTCAATACGTCAATACGTCAATGATGTGCTAGACTTTGAGTTTATAGAAAATGTTTCTCAAAAATTATGTATTCTTTTTCTACCAATTATATATTCTCACGGGTAAAAGAGAATTAGAAGTTTCTATTTTCCAGATTTCTTAAAATCCTTTAGGAAAGTAAATATAGATAAAGAAGAAGAGAAGAAAAATGGCTGGGAAGTTTTACTGGGAACTGTAAACTTAAGAAGTAAGCCTAGTTAAAGGGACCGTTCACTAATCTGAAACCAGTTAGATTTCTGATGTTTTAGTCAAGAGTTATAGAACATATATATCCTTGCTCTCTTTCAAAATCTTATCCTTTAATATTGTCCCAGTATTAATTTTATTATCATCCTTGGCTCAATGTTGAGAAATAGTTTCAACATTTTTGGTGTTCAGAAAAAAATTCCGATTTTTGACCAAATGATATTTAGTGATTTCTTATAGAAATCTTGACTTTAGCAAGGAAAAAAAAATTTATCTTAAATCCCTCTTTTATATCTTGTAAAGATAAAAACTGGATATGTAGTAAATTTCCTACTCCATAAGGGTTTCTAAAACCCGTATCTATCCAGGTACAACTCAGTTTCACTTTGCTGTCAATGTCTAAACCCGGACACTAGCTTGTAAACTATCAATGCCAAACCAATGGGCACGAACTCGTCAGCTATTGATGTCACCACGGACACTAGCTAGTAATCGATCCATGCCAAACCAAAGGGCACGATCACATGAGCTATTGATGTAAACCGGACACTAGCTTGTAAATTATCAATGCCAAACCAATGGGCACGATCTCGTCAGCTATCTATGTAAATTCTGACACAAGCTCGTAATCGAGCAATGCCAAACCATTAGGTACGATCTCATGAGCTATCAATGTCAACACGGACACTAGCTAGTAATCGATCAATGCCAAACCATTAGGCACGATCTCATGAGCTATCATGGTTAGAAATAATAAGGTCTATGACATTGGGTTGCAAAGATATAAGGATTTGAAAATCAGAGTTTGTGGCAAAGGCTCAATTCCTTGGTAGTTAAAATATCAAAGGTTTAGGACATCAGGATGCAAAGAGTAATACAAGTGTTCAGTTACTTTGTTTTGAAAAATAATTTGTTCAACTTACCCCATAGGAATATTCCAGATTGAGTATTGAGCAGTGTTAAAGAAGGATTGGAGCACAGGTTGAGTTTCTATCAGAATCCAGTTCGCATCAGGAGATATATGGTACAGAGAACTCCCAACAGATCTCTACAGTATATAGAAGGAATAAATATGGTACAGAGAACTCCCAACAGATCTCTACAGTATAAAGAAGGAATAAATATGGTACAGAGAGGTCCCAACAGATCTCTACAGTATACAGAAGGAATATATATGGTACAGAGAACTCCCAACAGATCTCTACAGTATATAGAAGGAATAAATATGGTACAGAGAACTCCCAACAGATCTCTACAGTATATAGAAGGAATAAATATGGTACAGAGAACTCCCAACAGATCTCTACAGTATATAGAAGGAATAAATATGGTACAG